ATAATGATATCGAAGATAAATTTCTTATTGCCATTGAATTATTTCTAAGCGACAATTTGTTGCTTACTAAACTGATTAGTAATTATTGCTTAAAATTGTTAACAGGGTTTTTTTTATATCGAATGGATATTTTGTTTTGCAATAAAATTTATTTAAAAACTTTAATTTAAATGTAGAAAACTCACTAATGTTTTTATTTAATTAGAAAAATTTCTTAGTTTAAATATTTTTGAAAATATTCTGAATTCATTTTAATTATAACTTTTAGCAAATTAAATATTCTTATAAATTTATACGAAAGTACATAATAATAATAATAATAATTAATTATATAAAGTAGTGTACTTTAATGATAATATATTTATCATTATTATTATGAAAGTGCTAATTTGTGCTTTAAGAGAACCATTCTCTAAGACGTGTAGAAATTTGTTAAAGAAATATGTTGTCGGTGAAGAGGAAAACATCGAATTTACTCTGCCAGATAATTCAGGAAAATGTAATTTGTGGCTGATAACCTGTTGGCTGACAAGCAATTTAGTGTTCGGCGCACACTAGCATACCATTGCTGTATACATCATGTGATGTAAGGAAACTGCACCAGTCGTAAATCCAAGTAAATTATTCACGGAGAACCATTTACTGCACGACCTATCTCGGTATTGGGAATGTTGATGTAAGGGGTATAGATTCTCGTTGGCCCAACCTTTAACTTCACTTCTTATCACCAAAAAATATATTACTTACCTTGTATATGAAACATCGCATGGGCATAAGTCTTCTATTATCAGCTACATAACAAATATCTTAGTAAATAGCCGGTAGAAAACTCGCTATATAAACTCAATTGATTTACCTTCGATTTAGTACCTACAGGATATGTTATTTATCAAACTATATTACTGCAATATGTATTTTTCCGGATCTAAACAGGGATAGAATAAGATTGGAGGGAACGTATTGGTGATGAATAGAAGGACATAGGAAATGTCAAAGTCAGAAATGCAATAGAAATTCGATCACGCTAGCCAACCTTACTAGAAAAGCAATCGTGGCTAAGCAAGAAGCGACAATTGCTAGGTAGGTATTCTGTTCAAATAAAATTGAAAGTGGGATTGTGGAAACAAGTCGTTATGGCCTTGTGTTATAGGAAGTCTACTTTGAGGAATGGGAATCAATAAATATACTGGAATTTATATTTCTTTTTCCTAGAAAGCGACTAAAATGTGTTTGTATTGTTGTTGTATTGAAAAAAAATCTGCAAACACTATTATTACAGAATTTTCTGCGTTCTGAAAACTTTCTTATTGTATGCATAAATGGTATATAATCTAAGAACTTTTTAAAAATAAATTATATAATGAGAATTATTTTATAGTTTTTTTTATAAGTTAATGCAAAATTATAAATAAATAAATATTTAATTATAAAATCTTTCCAATTTACTGTATTGAATAAACGCATACAGGCTTATTATTTACATAAAAATTTATATACAGTACAGGTAATTTTTCTTTCTATATAATACGTAATTCTTAAATTTAATTTTACAAACTAAATTTAATATTTTCAGAATATTATATTTATTTCATTTTAAAATTTTACTAAAATTCTATTGTTTCTACATTTAATAAGATTAATTAATGCTTTTAATATCTTTATTTTAATTTACTACTAAATATATCGCCTGAAAAACACACGATTTTAACGTACGATGATTATTATTTACATTAAAAGTAATTTTTAAAATTAATTTGATAAAAATATCTTTAATTATCACGAATAAAATGCAGCTGAAAAGTAGACGAAGTTGTTTAAAAATCGGGTTATTTTCATTATCTGAGTAAAAATATGAGCTTTTGAAACAGGCAACGTCATTGTAACCGCAATGTTTTATTAAAATTAATAATTTATTGTCAATTTACGTTTAGATTTTTTCAAAACATAACAAAAGAAAGTTTTTCTAATGTAAGACAAAATGTTTTAGCTATTGTTTGGAGATAAATAAGCAAAGAAATTTATTGTTCGTAAGAATTCATAATAATTCTTTCTCTAACGGTAATCCAAAGTTTTACAAATTCTGGAATAGTTGCATAAATTATTCTTGTGAACAGGTTTGAATTTTTTTTAAATGTAATGTTATTAATCATAAAGCGGAAAATGTATAATAAAAGTGAAAAGTTCTGGCAAATAATTTAAATTAATTATGCGGAATAATTATAATATTCATTTTTAAAATAATTTAAAATGTATACCTAGAATTTTAACTTAAATGTCTCGAAAAAGGACAAAAATCATTTTACTTTAAATTGTTTTAAAGTTTTTAAAATAATAATAAAAAATAAATATTTGAAACAATGTGGCGACATCTGTTATAACGAAATCCAAGAAGTCATTATCCTTAAACAATATAAATACACATCAATTATTTACGTCAGTAAACACGTATATTGCCACTGTATATAAATATTAGGCGTGCTATAAAAAGCTTTTAATTAAATTATAATCTATAAATGAGTCATAATAAATAAATTTAATAATTAACAATTTCTATAAATTTTTAAATTTAAAAAGCATTTAAAAAATCATTTTTGCTTTTTAATAAACATTTTGGTAATTAAAAAAAATTGTAACTTTCGATCATAGTAAATTTAATGAGCATTAAGATATTTTCACGGTTTCCAGTCAAAATATTTGCTTAATGATCAGGTTAAAAAGAAAATTTCGAATATTAAATATGGTGGCGAAAGTAATTTTTGACAAAACAAATTACTTTTTGTTTGGAAAGGGACGTGCGTTTTGCCACATTTATATTAAAATAAATGACCTATCAAGCGTTATGTCTTCAACCGTAAATAAGTGCGGAGATGAACGTAACCAGTTTGCAATTTGCTTTGCTTTCCCTAACAGCCTATTCATCTATAGTTAGTAATCAATACTATTTCCTGAATATCGATTGGATAGCGTCGCTATTTCCGGATGATACGAAAACCCCCATTTTCTGTTGGACATTGACGCATTACAGTTATACTAGCTCCAGATGGAAAGATTATGTAGAGAGCCGAATGAAGATTGACCTAAACCTTTGGGAANTGTTATATTGAATCAGCAATCGTTAAGGAAGAAAGAATATAATTTTATAACTTTCTCACTCATATTTTCAGAAGTAAAAATAAAATAATCGCAGGTTTTTATTTTACTTTTATAAATAAATATTTTAATATAAATATTTTTATATTTAAGTTTTTACGTTAGTGAGATGCTTTTAAAAACTATTTAAAAATTCATTAGAATAAGTTTTCCTTCCTCTTTTTTTAAAAAAAATACAACTGTCATTATTTATTTATCATCTTCTTCTTAAATTCTAAGTGTGTATAGGTATAATATATCTCGCGTTATTATATAAACTGTATTTATTGGCCGATTTATTATATATTTTAGCTTAAACTTTATTATTTTAAAGGAAATATACGCCTAGAGATAGTAAAATTAAGAATTTTAGAGAGAAGATTTAGAAATTTTCTTTAAATTTTAGTAAAAATGTTAAAAATGCTATAATATTTTTATATAAGTATATTTCATGCTGTTTATATCATTAAAATTTCATTTCATTTTAGCGAAAAATTGAGTGTGAAAAGTAAAATATTTATAAACTTTTTAAGATTTAAAGAATGTATGCCGCAACCTAAAAGAATCACTATACAAATTTTAAATTACAAAATAAAACGTTATAGAAAAATTTTTTAAATTATAAACTATTATATTAATTCTATATTCATATAAATTTATTTTTAAAATAATTGTTCATATAATATGAAAATAACTAAAATTAATTTTAAAAAGATACGAAATTACTTCTATCTGCGTATAATATATATACTTCTTTCTATTAATTTGGGTATATTTTCCTAAATATTAATTAATAAATGATTATTTTTAATATGAAAATTCCAAAAAATTGTTTTTTTTTTAATTGAACCGACATAAAATTATGATAGTAAATGTGTTTCGTGATGGAAACTTATAAAACTTGAGAACTCTATTTTCTACATTTATGATGTTTGGATAAGTATTTCTGATGCTATAAATTTTCGAGTAGTATTTTTTCCCCTTTGAAACATAATAAAATGTTCTTTTGTGTCTCAATGGAAAGATAAAAACAAAATTCCACCGAATATATATACGCTGTTTTAACTTTTGTATTAATAAAATAGTAATTTTATGTTGTTGAGAAGTGTTTTATAAATCAGAATAAACAGACTCACTCGATTTATTTTTTAAACAATCTGTATTTTAAATTGATCCCAGCAATAATTAAAGACATCCTCTTCTCAATTCTGGTCATTCATGCTCTCAATTACACCAAGGATCCTTCATGCCTACATTCATAAATATGTTTACTAATATTAAGGACAATATAGGAGAATGAAGGCACTCGAAATGTTTGAAGTCTTGGTGTACTAATCTTCCAAATTCTTAATTTAACCATGTTGGGAATAAACTATACAAGGTAGACGTGTTTCTTTTAAAAAATCAGTTCAGAAGATGTCTAAAGTATTTTTGTATGAGAGACGTCTAATTTCTTCATATATNAAAGTACAGTATGACAATTGGTCAAAAAGTGACCATCTAAGTTTTACATTTTGGACTCAGGAGACCTTGAAACGCCGAGATGAAAATTCCAAAAAATTGTTTTTTTTTTAATTGAACCGACATAAAATTATGATAGTAAATGTGTTTCGTGATGGAAACTTATAAAACTTGAGAACTCTATTTTCTACATTTATGATGTTTGGATAAGTATTTCTGATGCTATAAATTTTCGAGTAGTATTTTTTCCCCTTTGAAACATAATAAAATGTTCTTTTGTGTCTCAATGGAAAGATAAAAACAAAATTCCACCGAATATATATACGCTGTTTTAACTTTTGTATTAATAAAATAGTAATTTTATGTTGTTGAGAAGTGTTTTATAAATCAGAATAAACAGACTCACTCGATTTATTTTTTAAACAATCTGTATTTTAAATTGATCCCAGCAATAATTAAAGACATCCTCTTCTCAATTCTGGTCATTCATGCTCTCAATTACACCAAGGATCCTTCATGCCTACATTCATAAATATGTTTACTAATATTAAGGACAATATAGGAGAATGAAGGCACTCGAAATGTTTGAAGTCTTGGTGTACTAATCTTCCAAATTCTTAATTTAACCATGTTGGGAATAAACTATACAAGGTAGACGTGTTTCTTTTAAAAAATCAGTTCAGAAGATGTCTAAAGTATTTTTGTATGAGAGACGTCTAATTTCTTCATATATTAGACGTATATATACATATATATACGACTAACTAAGTCGAATTTTTTTGTTTTGTATAAATTTTTCTCACGACAAAGAATTTTTTTAACAAACAGGTACGGATAAGGAAGACAAGTAGATAAGGGTTATAACCTTCCATCAAATTCTAATCGGTGGAAAGTCGGAAGTAATATTCAGAAGTATTTTCATTTATATATATATATATTTATATATCTTGCTTTCTCGATCCGTCCATGATTTAGGAAACGTTTCCTTTGTGCTCATACCCGTAAAACAACACACACAAATGTCCATGAATGATATTTTTTCCACATTAATATATGAAGATTTCTCTTAAGAATTTCGTATAGGCTTTGATTCTCTTGACTTTTTAGAAAATCCACCTGCAGAAAAAAAAACACAATGAGTAAATATTTTGTTGCATTTTATATATATAAATATTACGTATAAATTTAATGTTTTTTTTTAAACACCTCGTATTAAAACAATGTAAAAATTATTTAAATTAGTAATCAAATGCAAGAATCTAAGGGTTTAATTTTTAAAATGGGCCCAAAGCATGAATACTTTTTTCCCCTTAACTATGAATAAAAGATTAGCTCTTCTGGCATCAAGAAAAACCTGCTAACGACACGTCTGTCATAATGAATGTTCCAGTACCAGAAGATCGATATTTGTAATCTTCTCTTATATTATCTTCGTCAAATTACGAACCTTAGATCTACATTTTATTCCTTTCTTTTCAAAGTTGACTGAAGGAAATACGATACCTAAACTATGTTGTTGGCTCTGTACAACCATTTTAATTTCCCCCGAGTTTCTATTTTTGTTCAACTGTGTTCTTCTCTAATAACTTTGTCTTAATAGAGATCTTTTCATGAAATTTCTTCGTGCCCTTTTTTTTCTGTTATAAATTTAAAATAAACGAAAGAAATGTGACATTTTTTTCGGTTTTATAAAATTCTAATAGACTTGTATAATAATAATAATAATAATAATAATAATAAATTCAAAATAGTTTATATAATCGAGAATAAATTTCTTTTAAAAAATGCCAAATTTGGTAATGTTAAAAAACTAAAAAGAGATTTAAAGACTTCCGAAAAACATTAAAAATTTTTAAAGTTTTAGAAAATTAAATTAAATATCTTTTAAGTAAGTTTATTTCTTTCTTCATATATACTATTATCTAGCAAACTTTTATTTTTTATTTTTTTAATTTTCGTTTGAAACGAATGGTAAGGGAATGAGATTATTATCATTAAAATTTTATAAAACATTGGGAGTCGTTCAAACGTAATCAAGAAATGGGCTACTTACTGCGGCTAGAAACTCACAATTTTAAAGATTGCTCATTGAAGTCAAATGGCAATAAATTTAATAGAGAAATGTGACCGACTTGCTTTATCTGAAAATCCTTACTTTCGACGTTAAAAGTATGCAAATTGATTGCACTAATGGTGTTACTTTAGCAGTATATTATAGCAAATGACTGTTTAATAGACGATTTTAAAATGGAAGAAAACAAATCTGTTGTTTATAGGTTTCTCCAGAATAGGAATTCGTGACTCGGTAATTTGATTTAAACACGGAAAAATTCTTGCAAATTAACTCGAATTTTATAAATTGAATACATTATACAGAAATATAAAAAAAAACATTAAGAGAATTAATTTTCTAAAAAGAATTCGTAGTTGAAGAATGCATAAATTCACAGTTTTTTTTTTTTTACTTTTTTTACAGCTGCTATTATACCAGTGGTAACCAAGCCTAGATGCATGCCACAAATGGCACTCCACATTTGGAATTACGTATTGATATATCTGCATTTCAAAACTAAAAAATAACAACAACAACAACAACTATTTGATGTAAGCTGACTCACATCTATATTCCGGTAGAGGTGACAGGGCAATTTTGGCACTTTGATATGGTTTCATTTCACATTGTGGCACGCCTGAGATAAAGGTTGGCCACCACTGATCTACACAGAAATAGAGAAACATGGTATAAACATGTAATACTGCCAAATTTGTCTTAAACGGAAATTATTAATATAATAAACATAAATAAAATTCTAACACAACTCCACAGAAAAACACTTAAACGACGATTAGAGGAAGTTTAACACTTACAATTAACAAAGATCATAGTTTTCGTCAGTCAGAGAAAAATATTTAACATACTGAAACTGTAATTATGTTTTAGAACTAATACAACTTTTTTATTGATTTTATGTAAAATTAAGGTGTAATTAGTATAATTTGTACTATTTTGAACGTGTCACATTCTTACGTTTTGTCATTCTTTGTGGAATTGAAAGATGAGGATCATTATTAAAATTCTTACAGCTTGTAATTATCGTTACTTCTCACTAATTGAAGATATTAAGCTTACTGTCTTACCTTCAACCATTATATTTAGATTATAGTATAAGTACAAACAGAATAGATACATACAGTCAACAAAAAATTATTGGCATGACACAAAATTTTTATTTTAATAGACAAAACAAACAAAAATGTAGTTTAAAACTTAGAATATGTATGTACTGTACTTATTCTGAATTCTACAAAACAAATACCATCGAAAATTATGCAAAAAAAAAAAAATTATTGGCACGGTGTCAAACTTTGTTATACAAACATATAATGTCTAAAACATAAAATACTAAAAGAGTTCCAATATTGTCATATTGGAACTCTTTAGTATTTTGTAGAACTTTTTTTTTCTTTAATACTTGATTGCAACGCCTGGGCATACTTTGCATCTAGTTTTTCACAGACTTTTGGGCCAATTTCATTCCTTGCCAGTTGTATTATCTCTTTTAACTCAACTTTTCTTTTTGGATTTTCTCTTGGTTACTTTTCTTTTTATTTCTTCCCACAAACGTTCAATAGGATATAAACCTGGTAACTGATCATATCAACCCAAACTGATAACATTGAGATTTCAAATATTCTTTCACTACCTTAGGTATATGCTTCGGGTCGTTGTCTTATTCGAAGACAAAAGTTTGTTCTAGTCCCAACTTAATGGCTGAAGTAAAAAGATTTTCGTGTAATATTTTTAAGTATTGTTGTTTTCTCATGGTCTCATCAATAAACACCAGATTTCCAATTACTTTGCTGCTTATACATCTCCCACACCATCACCGAACCACCTCCCTGTTTCACAGTTGGAATAATACACATATGATTAAGTGCTTTTCCTTTTTTCCTCCAGACTTTTTTAGTGCCATTGTGTCCAAACAGATCAAAATTACTTTCGTCAGATCCCAGAGTACTTTGAAATTAACGAAAATAACTAGATTCTCAAGATACTTTTTAGTCCACACAAATCGTTTCTTCTTGTTTTGTTTGCTTACGCATGGTTTATTCCGAGCAACTCCAGCATGATAACCAAATTCATGCAATCTATTTCGAATAGAATAAGATGTACACTGACATTATCTTCTATTTCCAATTCATTGGCTATTTTAACTGCACTTTAAAAACATCGTTTCTCAATTTCCTCTTGACCACTCTGTCCTTTGCCGAATTCATTTCCCTCTTTCTTTCTCTTCATGTTTTATTTTTTTACTTTCCCAATGGATTTAAACTTATTAACAATATTTCTGACGGAAGACTTTGGGGCATTCCAAAGTTTTACCCAAGGATATACCACGTTTAAATTGTCTAATGACACAATTTCTAATGTCATTAGACCACTCATATTTTTTAGAAGCCACGTCAAACAGAGACTTAAAAATTGTAAATTATCTTTAAACAATCTTGCTTCTTTCGTTCTTTACTCAAATAATCCGCTGTTCCATCTTTACAGAGAGTAAAAACGAAGAAATCAATAATACCGTGCCAATAATTTTTTTCCATAACTTTCGATGGTGTTTGGTTTTGTGATCTTTTTAAAGATTGTTTAGTTTAAAATAGAAATACGTAAATGCATACAAGCAGAATACGATTTACAGTATACAATATATAAGTTTTAGAAAGTTTGGAACTTTACTTTATTTGTTTCGTCTATTAAAAGTGAAAAATTTGTGGCGTGCCAATAATTTTTTTGTTGAATTTCTGTATGTGTGTGCGTGTAAATTAGTAGAAATCACGCTCCAAATATTGCTTACTCTAAAATTCTACTTTACTATATTTAGAGAGTATAAAATCATATGAAATATTCTTTGTTTAAGCGAATCTGATGGGTAGAAGCGCCAGCCAGTCGCTATCATTCGTTTTACAGTCGCGACGACGCGTCTCTACGCGCTAAAGCGTAAATAGAGCTATTTTATTTGATTTTTTTTAATTATAAAATTTAATATTTTAGTTTTTATATTTTTGATTATACTTAAAATTAAGTTTAAGACTTTTTACTGCTTTATCATTTTGAAGTGCTATTTTTAAAGTTTTTAAAAGTTATATTTCGTTGAAATAATAATTTCTAGGGGAAAAAATAAAATTAATTTTTTAACGACTGTACAGTCAAATATACGCTCTTAAACATATTGTAGAACGTGGTAAGTGTGCGAAAGAGCGATAGAAACCCATTGGTAGTGCTATAAAAAAGAAATTTTCTTGACTCTTATCTCTGTGAATTTGTGTGGTATCAAAAGCTTAATGGTTGTGATCCATTTGATGAAATTTTTAATGATGTTGCAGCATTTTGCCACCAGAAAATTAATGACCTATTCTTTCTTCTTACTTCGACCGAAAATTATTCTGCTTACTGATTATTTAATCTGTATATCACGCTCTCTTCGTAAAAAAATAAAATAAAATAAAACAAAAAAAGTATGAAATATTGCGTGGCTTATAAATAATTTTACAATTTTTATACTTTTTTAAAAAATTATTTAATTATGGATCAATAAACAAGATTCGATACGAGTACACATCATTCAAAATCCAATTGATTTGAGAAATTTGAAACTCTAATCAAGATGAATTGATGCATGAATGAAGCGCATTATGCCATATATCAGAAGCATTGACGTATATACGTGATAAATTATTATTATTTAATTAGTTTTATACAATTTTCAAGAAGAGATTTAAGTAAATTTTACTCATTTAAGACTCGAAAGATTGGGGGAAGTGGTGAAATGGTTTCTTATTCTTCTTATTATTGTCTGTATGTTTTAAACTTTATAGAATAACAGAATATAATTAGACGATTAGTTTAATATACCTGAAGATCTTCTATCCGAGTCCAATTGTACTATCATTCCGGGTTCTTTTCTTGTTATGGACGACTGCGAACGGTAGGAAGACTCTGTATCCATAGAAAATCCTACTAAACAGAATAATTATTTAGAGAGTAGCCATTATATTTAAAGAAACAATAAATATAGAAATTAGATATTCGAATTAAACTATTTACTTAATAGTATTTTAAAAATAAAATCTAGTAAGATAAACAATAAGATGTCGATCTGTTTTTAATCATATTCATCTTGGTGCCAACCCACCATGGAGGTCGGGTGATGACAACCTCGAAAAATTCCTAGGTCCTTATAGTGGCAGGCTAATTTACCTTAACTTTTTGGGCTATTTCTTTAATGCTGCGCTCTTTCTAGGATACACTGTTGCCCAAAGGTCAAGTTAATCGTACTTCGTGTCCCATATAGACTTGTGAATACAAATCGTAATGCATTGAACAAGAATGAACTCATTTTGAAGAATTTTTCTGAAGTTTGGAATTAGGAAAATATTACAACAAGATAATAATTGAGTTTTTACACTTTTAAGCAATCCTGTATATTTCAGTTATGTGTTTGATATTAAATATGTCAAATATTTAACATGAAATTCTTAATTTATCAATTATTTATCCTTATAAAAATATAATGTAATAAACTTATTATTTACATAAATTTTAAATAATGTATATAATAAATATACTTTTATAAATGTTAATGTAATTATAATATATCATAATTTTCTTGTAGTATTGAGTATTGATTTTTTAAAATAAACGTACTTTTTATTGCATTTCTTCATAGTAATTTTATTATTTGGTTTATAAATATATTTTTGAACTGTATAGTATGTAATCAATACTTTCAATATGTGAAATTGTTTATATTGAATAACCTTAGAATTAGCAAAACATCATAAAAATAATTTAAAAACATAAATGACAAGTGTAACATCCTGTTAACAATTGAAGGATTTTACAAATTCCAAGTAGTTTGTCATTAAACTACGTTGTAAAGTTTGATAATATTTTATTTTCTGACCATTATATTTTTATATTGAATAAAATTATTAATTCTGTTGATAATGCAATGCGCCTTAAGAATTATATAATAATATAATTCTTCTCAGAACTTGCAAATCGTTAGGTTGGAAAATATATTAATTTTTTAATTATAAATGGCAATGAGCATTAATGATGTTAATGATTAATGATTATTATATTACATTTAGTTTTGTAAAAGGAAATAGAATTTAGATATTTTAATATTAATTATGTGAAACTTTTTTCTTTTTTACTTAATATTCGGAAGTAAATTGTAATTAAATCATTATTAAACGTATCAATTATCATAATTCCCAAGTAATCTGCGGATCAATGGAAATAAAATTATAAACCACAATACGAAAATAATACGAATTTAGTCGTTCTTTCTTTGTCGATTTATATATATATTAATTCGAGAGAAAATTTCATTTTTATTTACGAGAAATTAAATTGAGAAATTAATTAAATTATAAACGAATTTTATTGACTTTTACCATTAATTTAATTAATAAAACGAATCAATAAGGAGTAGTCAATAAGCATTATTAAGTGAAACTATTCATTTTGTTAAACAATTAAAATTTTTTTTTATGATGATGATTAGAATAAAACACTTTTGCTAATGACAAGTCGAAAACATAAATATTAACGTAGATTTCGTAAAAAAATTAATTGGCATCTAACTGTCTGAATATAACAGTAAACAATAATCGATATCATCGTCACTTTTTCCAATCTGGATATTCTAACTTAAAGCTTTTAAATTACTGCTGGGGGCATTAATCATTATATATATTCTTAATACAAACTGCGGATGAATGCTTCTAGTACAGAAAAAAAAAGAACAATTTTACCTTCGGGTTATAAAAATGAAAAGTCAAAAAATCAATTATTCTTTCTAGTGCATTCTCTACCTGTCTCGTTCATTTAACATCTTTTGAAGCGTATACCCTAGAGAGGGAATTTTCGTCAAAATTCTGTCATTTAGTGTTAAATAAAAAGAATATTTTGAAAATAGCTTTAGTAAATGCATTTTGCTTCACATGAATGAATATAATTATAATTTATTAGCGAGTAAATTAATATTAAATCATTTAGAATCTCAATAATTACCAGGGCATTGATAAATATGTGCGTCTGATCGAGGTGGTCTTGGTGTTCTTTTAACTGTGGCATAAAGTGGTTCCTCCTGCAACTGAAAATATCATCGTTATAGTTAAAATTATAATACGTATTATTAGCGAAAATATACTCTGGTCATCATTAACTGAAATTAAATTTATTTTTATATTAATATCCTAGGTCTATTAGTTACTTTTTAGTGTAGCTATACATTTTTCTTACTATATAAAGCAATTAAATTTACTATAAAAACTATATAAGGCAGCATTTTTATAGCTGAATCGTAGAGTTTTAAAACAAATATACTATTTAATTTAAACAGAAAACGACACTTAATTATCTAATGTAAATAGCTTATACTGTTTATTTAGTTTATTCGTTTTTATGAGTACACCAGATGAAGAATTTTTGTAGACTTGACATAAATTTTAATTTATTTGAAGCTGAGCTCTTATCCAAAATTAAAAATGTAATAAAACAAATAAAAATTTTCCTCAAAGTTAAAATTTTATTTCAACTTTATTAAGTATATACATAAACATTACTGACTATTTTTAATTAAAATCGATATAGATATTGAAAAATATTATCAAGAGGTTTATATAAATCCTACCTGATGATAACCCGAATCCGTTCCATCGTCGGTTGTCCTACCAGAAACCTGTGTAGTAGCATAAGGTGTTGGATAATAAGAGGATCCAGAAGAATGCTTCTTCCTCTTTTCTAAGTCTGATAATGGCATCATTTCTTGACCAGATTTCCTTGTGCCATAAGTCATGCTACCTGAACCCCAAAAGAAATATTACATTTTGAACTCTTTCTTGCAATATTTTATGGTATAAAAGTATATAAATGCCAATTCTACTCGTATAAATAAACGTCACAATAGAAATTATAGTAAACATAAAAATAATTTAATTTAGTACCACTTCCATTTTGGTATGATTTAATTTCAAGTTTTTCTTCATTTCTATGCATAAAAATGTCAAAACATATTTACACGAAAATGCATTAATCAATGAAGTCAAAGCAATTTTATCAATAATTGCTTTTAAAAAATACTTCCCTTCTCATTATCGTAAGAGATATATGATTATATTTGATTGCTTGTGAAATGATAAAATTTGACAGATTATTTATAATATGCATTAAAAATAATTGCAAAATGAACAAAATAATTAGAAGAATATCTCAAAATCGATCTCCTATATCTCTCCAATGGTATAGATTAATTAATATAATTACAGAAACTTCAGAAATTATTTCGGTAGGAAAATTGAAAACTTTTTTTAAAAAATGATATTTTTTTATAATAATACATTCGAGCAGGCTGACAGGCAGTACGATGAAAAGAATTAGAAGAAATTATAGTCACGTTTCGTGTTTGAAATGCTTTTCATTAGCGGATGAAACTAACTGAGAGAAAAATTTATAGCAAACAATTCGTGTAAAGGGGGTTGGCATTAGCCTTGCAAGAAGTACTTCAGTACGACAATAAAGGACTAAATGATGATGCCTGAATTCAGTCGGATGCAGATGGCAAAGAATGGAAGAGGACATAATAGGCAGTGCCGGGAAGCATCTGCAGATGGTCTGACTGTGCATTCAGTGATTATCGATTGATGGTCAGAAGAGGAGAAGAAAAGTTGAGATCCGGTGATCAGACACTTAAGTTAGAGACATGGAAAGTGTGGAGCGACTTACAGTCGTGCTGAATGAATCTACTAGCCTCTATGAACTTATATGTGAATGGCAGATAATATTACGGTTGTTACTTTAATAGTTATTTGGGATTAAAACTTATCGTCTATTGTATGATATCTTGACGTTTTATATCGATTCAATTATGATCTAAAATGTATATCTTCTAGAACGTAACAGAGATTTTTTTTAAATGTTCTAAATATTTAATTATTATTCAAATATCTTTAACTTTAAAATATTCATTAAAATTTTTGAAAAATTAATCGCGTTATCTTGTTCAACTTTTCTAGTAAATTAAAACAAAATAATAAATCTAAATACTGTACTTTTTATTATAATAATCTGTACAAAACTAATATTACAGAAATTAAACGAAAATTTCATTCTTTCTGAAATATTTATTATTTTAGAATTATAATAATTATTGTAAATGTATAAAATTGATATAGTACTTTTTCCTTAGTGCTATTTTCCATATCTTCAGCTTCTACAAATATAATTCAATAGAAAATATAAAGATAATAATTCCGGTATCTTGCTGACTCTTCCATATTTATGACTACATTTACCGGAACTGACTTGATTCGTAAGAAATAATTATTGGGTAAATAAACAATTTATTGTCTGAGTTTTGAATGTTGAATAATAATTTTTCTAAATTATTCAAAATCTCTTTAAAGTTAATAATAAAATAAACACACTCACATCTACATACACACACATATATATAAATACATATAGGCCTATGTTTATTTATTTAAAATTAATTTTAAAATGGTTAATAATTTTAGAAAAATTCTAATAAAATATAAATATCATATAATAAAGTTTCAAATCCCATAAAACGCATCAATACCTCTTAAAATTTATTCAACATTTTATAATTTTGTAATTCTGCATCTTATTATTAGTACAGTATTAATTTTAGTTTACCCAATAATTTTCTTAATTTTGTATTAATTTCTTCGTAATATTTGTATAAATTTCTCTTGTATTCTATAGATCATTAAATAATGATAATAGTCATACTTTATGAATGCAGAAGTCTCTGCAAATCTGATAGCAAATCATCAATGTAAAGTCAACATCTTTAAATATTTTAATTGAAAGTATTTTGTAAAATATATATAAGATAAAATACTAGAATTATGTTATTGGAGACAGAATTATCGAATTTATATATCCAATTATTTGAATACAGTTGTATCTTTTCCTTCTCGTTTGTTAACTTGAATTTTCTTTGTAATGATTGTTACTGAAATAAATGTTTTAAGATACGCATTCACTATTAAATTTCGAGTATAATAAACTATTAAAACTATTAAATTTAAATTATTTTAAGTGCTGATTCAGTTAATATTTATTTATTTATTAATAATTATTCTTCTGAGAGATGATTCGTAAATTATTTTGAATTCTTTGAAGAATATATATATTTTTAAATATTTTAATTAATAAATTGTTTAAAACAACTTTAAATAAATGCTTGTTTATATTAAAAGAATCGTCTAAGGTTTTAATGCTTTATCTTAATAAAATCGAATAATTTAAATTGTTGAAATTTTTTAAATAGTAGATGATTCAGGAATAAATATTTAATGTAAATAAATAAATACAAAGTAACCTTTTCCTTTTATTAGTATTTAGCAATTATTAATAAGCATATATACGAAATTGTAACCTGTTTTTCCTTTTGGAAAATGATTTGTTGCATATTTTTCTCTTATTAATATCTGAATAAGTCTAAAATATACTTTCTAAAGGCTACTACTGCAATAAATCTATCATGCATCTCGGAATTTATACAGTACAAACGATATCGATTATAAAAACGATTTTAAAATGATAGTTCTATTTAACTGTAGTTTTATAATAACTTTCAGTTCGATTTTATATACGAATAAGTAAGTAAAGTTTATTGTACTAGGTGTAAACCTGTTACAAAGGGGGTTTAAAAGGGTATCCAACCATAGTTGGTTTGTAATATAATACATTAATTCCAATATAATCTACATCTTGCCAAAAACCATTGACATTTTTCAGTGTAGAGACTTAAATATATAACTTCGTCTATCATAATACTCAACTATAAAAATCTTTTAGACAGATTNTTTAAAAGGGTATCCAACCATAGTTGGTTTGTAATATAATACATTAATTCCAATATAATCTACATCTTGCCAAAAACCATTGACATTTTTCAGTGTAGAGACTTAAATATATAACTTCGTCTATCATAATACTCAACTATAAAAATCTTTTAGACAGATTACAGAAATCATTATTAATAAATACAATTTATAACTATATGGAAAATTATTGCATAAACTTATCATCGTTGCTCTTAACCTGTGTATTAATCTTACCAATCACAGCTTTCGTCTATGACAGGAAATTGAGAAATTTTTTAAACTATATTATAAGTTGCTGTCTTCTCTTTATATAATCTTATAGCATAGATATATATAAGAGCAAATACACAAGCACAAAACCCTTAATATCAGAATATATTGTTATTATATTATATCTCACAAAATTACTCGTATTACAGCTCTCCTAGATATCTCGACACAAATAATTTCAAAAACATTTTATATCTCCTGAGAGCTTTGATCTATTATACACTATAAAATCATGGAATTTATTATAGATTACTTGTCAAACAAAACATTCAATAGTTGTTATCATAAGGAATGAACGTAGTATAAATATATTCTTTAAATCTTATTTTCATGATTGTAACAATAATATGACTAATACTTCTATCCTTCTATTTATCTACCACTTCGAATTGATAATCGTATCCTATTTAAACACCACTCAATTGAAACACTTTCTCCAGGTTGATATCGTATGAGTATTTTTGTTTATCCTTAATGTAGTAATCGTCTCTTATGATTATTTTATTCCCATTAAGTTTTTCCTCTTTGATTGTTGGTAAAAATTTTTATCTCTTTATTCTTGATCTTTTACATAGATCTGTGGTGAATATTATTTTTTCCTCTCCTTTTTACTGACCTTATCTCCCTTTCTCTAAAACTCTCTAAATCAAGTTTCTCTCATATCAATGAAATTTTTACTATTGGCGTACTTTTATCATTAGTTAGTCTAACAACACTTTCTATACAACTGTTAGATATTCCCAAATCTTTTTCATATACTGGTTAATTTCTTTAGCATAATCATGTGAATTAAACAGAAAATTAATAATTATAATGTTCCTTTTATTTTTCGAATTCTATCATTCCTTTTATTTGGCAGTTGTTCTTAGATATTACTTCCATTTCTTCTACTTTTTGAGATAATTTTATCAACTTCCCATGAAAAAAATTATTTTCTCCTTTCAGTAAATTAACTTCTGTTTTAATTTCTTGTATTTCAAAATGCAATTGTGAAAATTTGTCCTGTATTAGTTCATAAATCGATTTTAGTGTGGTCTACCACGCCCCTTCTTTGCAAGACCGTTTGACTCACTTGTTGCGGAGAACGGGGTAAGAGACCTGATTTGGGATTTGGTTCTATCCCAGCAGTTAGTAATAAAGATGTTATTAATTGCTAATTACTAATGAGTAATTAAGTCTAAGGGTAGTCTATTAAAAAATATCCACTTCCCTGAATTAATCATTCTCATCTATTTACAGCCTTCCAATTTTCCAATACACAACATCAAGCTCTACTCAAAAGTCCGCCAATACCTCCCTCGATTTTATATAATAAATAAATATTTAGTAATCGATCATCATATACATTAAACAAATGTTATCCAATTACGATAATACTAATCGTATTTATCCATTTTTGCGAATAACTGTAGCAGTACTGATCATATATATATATTTAATGTAGAGTGTATTATAGATATAGTCTCTTAAACATAATTACTGTATTTTCTTTTGTACTGTATATAAAATATATAAGATAATCTGCTTTATTTTAAACATTTATATGAATTATCTATTATTATTGTATCTATGTTTTTATCCACGGTACATGTTTATTTTGTAATTAAACGAGACATTCTACAATCTCCTGTCATTTTCAGAAACTGCATTATATATACACTATATATATACATAATA